CCGCCGCGGCGGCCGCGGTCGCGCGGCACTGCCTGGCGGCGGGCGACCACCGGGCGGCGGTGGAGTTCCTGCTGCTTGCGGGGGAGATGGACCAGGTGGCTGGGGGCGCCGCAGGTTTTGTGCCTGTCTGCATTCCGGCCATGGGTAGACCCCATGCTGGGGGCCGGCTACACATGAAGGGCCTCGCTGGCCCTGCGTGTGTGGGGACCCAGAGGGATGTAGTGAGTTCGCACCTGCAGCTGCGACCGTCAATGTCAGGTGCTGCCAGCCTGATCCTTACTCGATTCTAAGTCGTCGTGAGCAATTCTTGCACATCGGCCCGCTCTTTCGTTTGACCCCAGGCCTTTGACGTCGCATCGTCGCGGGGCCACATGGACACGTTTGCGTCGCTCGTGGCGGCCAGCGCGTCTGCGCAGGGCGAGGTGCGCCGCGGGGCGTCCTTGCGCATCATCACCCCTGACATGCCCGACAGACAATGTTCGCTTGCGCTGTTGTGTGCGATCACTTCGCATGGGGCCGCCGTCTTGTCGCCCATATGACCATGCAACGCTTCGTACCCGCGACCCCCACCCAGGTGGAGCGGATCGCCGCGTACTACGAGCAGCGCGGGGAGCTGGAGCAGGCGGGCGACATGTGGGCGCGCGCGGAGCAGCCTGACAAGGCGCTGCGCCTGTACCTGGCGGTGAGGGCGCCTGGGTGGGCTCGCGGATCCCGGGATCCTTGCATTGCAAAGCAGGCTTGTTTGGTTGCGCTGAGGCATTTTATACAAGCTTGTGCAAGCGCCGCCTACATCACGCCGGCCTGCATGCTGCGTGTGAAACGGCCCGTTGAGTGCCGCTGGCATAAGGCGCGGCGCCGGACGCCCGCATCACAGGTTGGCGGGGTGGCGGCGGCGAACAAGGCGATTGCCCTGGTTGAAGCTCGCGGCGGCGACGCTGTCCTCGCCGAGAGGGTTCTGGCATTCATTGACGGCGGCGCCGGCACGAGCGGAGTCGCTGGCGCTGGGGGCGGCGGCGGGGGCGGCGGCAGCCTGGAGGAGGGTCCTCGGGAAGAGCTGCGCTTCAGGCTCCACGTGGCGCTGGGGCGGCCTGCGGAGGCAGGGCGCGCGGCGTTGGAGCTGGCACGCATCGAGCAGGTGGGCCCGCGCGGCAGAGCACGCGCCCGTGGTGGGGTCTTGGGGGCATTCCATACAGGTGGCTCGTTTCAGGCACCCTCCGAGATCCTGGCGCTTTTAGAAAAGCATGCTGCAGACCCTGACCATCTCCCTTGGATGCCTTGACTGCCTCAAGGATCCGTGTCTGACGCGCAAACCCCAAGTTGCCCCGTACAGCAGTGCCTGTCCAGCTGCTGTCGCCCCTCCCGCCCATACCTAGCCGTGTGTGCTAGCTGGCCAGTTCTGAATCGCCTGACCAGACCGTCCTGCGACAGCCACATTCGTCCTTGATCCTTACAATGAAGCCCGTGGATGTAAACAATTCAACCCATGCGAACCCACCCTTTCAGGAGGACGGAAACTACAGAGTGGCGCACTCCAAGCTGCTGCGCGCCGTCAGGCAGCTGCGCAACCTCGGGGCCCGCCCCCCGCGCGACCTTCTGGCGGCGCTGCTGCTGCTGCACAGCTACGTGCTGGTCAAGAGCCTGGCTGCGCGCGACGACCACATGGGGGCGGCGCGGATGCTCGCGCGCGTCACGCGCAGCATCAGCAGGTGTGGGTCAGGATTAGGGTTGTTACATTGTGGTGCGGGGGCATGCAGGATGCACGTGGCTTTGTTTGTGAGCGCGCATGTGCTTGTGAGTGTGTGTGTGTATGTGTGCGCACGCACACACACGTGTGTGTGTGTGTGTGTGTGTGCACGCGTGCACGCGCACAATATGCACGCCTGCACGTGTATGTGCATGTTGAGTTGCGCGCACATGCGTTTATTCGCGGGTTGGGCTGCACCCCGAATGGAGCCCATTGTGCACAAGCGCCCGTTGTGCATGACATGTGCCTACATGCGGGTCAAGCACCAGCCGCCGCGGCGATATGTGATGCTGGATGCACACGAGGCAAGTGGTGACTTTTGGCCTGAAGTCCCAACCAAATGCCTGACGAGACGCCGACGGCTGTTCCAGCTTTGGAGCATACGACCTCGTTCACACGCAACCGGTCCTCCATGGCCGCCACCCAGGTTCCCCAAGCACGTGGTGCCGATCCTGACATCAGCGGTGATCGAGTGCCAGAGGGCCGGGCTCAAGGCCACCGCCTTTGAGTGCGCCGCCACGCTCATGCGGCCAGAGTACAGGTGGGGGGTGAGAGGGGGGAATGCAGGGCTGGCTCTGGGTGGCCGGTCGGGGCTACGGCTGCACAAAGAATGGCATTCCTGCAGTCGTCGCAGACAAAATTCTTTTGCGCACAAGGGAGGAAAGGCCGTGCCTGCATGCACACACTTTGTCTAGCATGCACACATAGCACAAAAGCCCTGACAAAGGAGAGCCGGGCCACTGGACAGAGAGTGCTTTCGCCCACCCAACCCAGCTTCCGCCCTATGTGCACCCTCTCCCTTCTCCACCAAACCCTCAGGTCCCAGGTGTCTGAGCGCTACCGCAAAAAGGTGGAGCTCGTGGTCCGCAAGCCCGACAGGGGCGAGGAGCCGCCGCCCCCGCTCGCGCCCTGCCCTTTCTGCGGGCTGCCTGGCCCAGAGTGCGACCTTGTGTGCATCAGCTGCCAGGGAGTCATCCCCTTTGACGTGGCCACTGGTGGGTGCGGGGCCCGGCGGGGTAGAAGCTGGCTGGCTGGGGCGCGCAGCGGCTGTCATCCCAAGTCGCGAGAGCGGAGGGAGGGTGGCAACGCGGAGGGTGGTGCGTGCGGCAACTACTTGCTTGCTTGCTGCTGCCTGGAATCGCGCGCTCCTCCCACGCTCGGCAACGTACGTTACTCACTCCATATGTTTGATGAGTCAAAACGTCGCGACCACGCCACCCCGGCAGGCAACCGGATGTCACTCGACGACTGGTGCGAGTGCCCTGCATGTCGATTCCCTTGCAGCGGCAGCGCCATTCGCGCCATCTTGGCGGCCGAGGGCGCCTGCCCCATGTGCTGCGAGCGCGTCGCGCCTGAGGCTGTGGTGCGGCTGGCAGCGGCAGAGGCGCAGCAGCGGGCCGAGGAGATGGGGGCGCTCGGGGCGGCGGCGGCGGTGGGGCCGGTCGCAGGGGGTGGGGGCCTACGGGTGGCGGATTCTGGGTGATGTACGCTCTCTGGCAGGTGGCGGCGGCGACGGCTTGCGTTGTTTGTGCTCCTGATGCCCTCCTATAGCGCAATGGTTGTATAGGTATTGTCTGGGGTCACCTGATGAGTTACATGAGCTGGGCAGGTCACATTCACCAAAGTCAGTACAGCTCAGGGGCAGGCAAGGCACCGGGTGTGGCTGAACCACCCAGGCTTGTGCTCAGTGCGTCCCGATGTGCTGCAAAAGGAGTGGCACAGTTGTCCCGGCCACGAATAGGGGTTGAGGCTGCCTGGGATGGGCATGCCTAGCGGCCAATAGAAACAGAGTGCACGGCATGCGCCGCAAGCTGCGGCGCTGGCGCTGACCAGTAGACAGTGGGGCAGGCACGAGTGAAGCAAACACGCGACAGCTGGATGCATAATGAGGGAAGCGTGTGAAGAGGACAGTGGTCCATCAAAATCGAAAAAATCACCTGGCAGATACCTTCTTGCTGTGAGGCGGCGCCAGATCAGCAAGGCCGGCGCGGCTGCGCCACACAGTGGCAACAGGAGGGTCCGCGCTGCGTGCCTCCCCTGGCTCAGCCCCTGCCGCATGCGCGACACCCTCGCCCTCGGCCCGGCACCTGCCACGCAGCAGCAGCAGGGGACCCTGCACCACCAGCTCGCCGCCCCCCCTCAGGGTGCTGCTCCTGCTGCCGCTCGCTGCGTCCAACAGGCGCCGCGCCTCCTCCACCAACTCAAACGTGGGCGCGGAGCCCATGTGCCCGCGCAACCACAGCAGCAGCGCCCGCCGCTGCATTGCTTTGTGACCGGTCAGCAGGTGGGCCCGGTCAAGGGCGCCATCGACGCCCGAACAGACTTCGCAGCAGCAGGCGCCGCTGCTGCCGCTGCGACTGGCACTGTCCCGAGTGCTGCATCCGCCGCTGGCGCCCTCCTCGCCGCTGTCCTCTGCGCGTTCGCGCTGCAAACGGCTGCCATCCTCAACGGTGCATACTTCCATGGCCCGCGACGGGCCAGCCCCCTGCAGGGCCACGCTCGCCTGCGGCCGCCGCCGCAGCGGCCGCCGCGGCGGCCACGGTTCGCCCGCCGCCGCCGCTTGCGCGGCGCGCACGGCCGCCAGCTCGCGCGCCTGCAGCAGCAGCTTCCGGGCGGCTTCCTCGAGGAACTCCACGTCAGCCCCCAGCGCCTCTGCCAACGAGGCCATGTGCTCCACCGCGCGCGAGTTGATGCTCCCCATGATAGGCAGGATGCGGTGGCGCACCGCGTTGCGCGCTATCCGGACGTCGTAGTTTGTGGGGTCCTCCCAGGGCTGGAAAAGTTGGAGGTAGCAGCGAGGACGCGTGAGGAGGGCGAGGGGAGCGGGAGGTTGGAGGCGCACACAAGAGGGGGCGCGCTCCTCACCACAAGCTGCTCTGCAAAGAGGATGACCCGACCAGCACCACGCGTAGGGTCACTCCAATGCTGCCACGCCGCAGTGGGGGACTGGGTCTGAACACTGCCGCAGCTGCACGCGCTGTTGCCCCCCCCACCACCACCTCCCTCACCCCGAGTTGGCGCCGGCGGCACTCCTCCCCGGTCCGCTCCCGCGTGACGTCCAGCAGCGGCCGCACTAGCACCAGCTTCCCGCCGCTGCCGCCCAAGTCGTCGCCCCCGCCGCTGCGGCCCTCGGCCGGCACGCCGCCCAGCGGCCGCTGCCACCGCATTGAGGCCAGGCCGGCCGTGCCTGTGCCGCGCATCATGTTGAGCAGCATTGTCTCCGCGCGGTCGGTGGCGGTGTGGCCGACAGCGACGTGGCTGCAGCCGGCCTTGCGCGCGAGGCGCTCGAGGGCGCCGTAGCGCCACTCGCGCGCGATGCCCTGGTGGGGAGCCGATGCAGGGCGAGGGTCTAGGCCTGTCAAAGGTGGTTGAGGCGCACGGACAGCCCTCGCCTCATCCCGCCTGGCCATGACCATAGCTTCACACGCCACAGAGAGCCTCAAGGGGGGCGTGCTCTCAACCCTCTGGCGCCCGGGCGCATTGCAGACGGCAGCCATGACATCGCCGCACCTCGTTGGTTGGGGCTGCATCTGCCACCTCCTGGAAGCACTCGAGGCCCCTCTCGGCCGCCCACCGCCCCACGTAGGCGGCGCAGGCCGCTGAGTCGGCGCGGATGCGGTGGTCGCAGTGGCCGACCGACAGCCGCACGCCCAGGTGGGGGGTCAGGTCGAGCAGGAGCTGCGCCATGCAGAGCGAGTCCTGCGCGGCGGTTGCCGCACAAATGCCGTGCGTTGCGGCGCAGGCTGTAAGCTTTTTTTGACCGCATGCTGTCGGACCGCTTCTTGCCAAACAGCATGCAGCGCAGTGCGTCTGGAGGTCGCATTTGCACAAAAACATCAGACAGCGCCCAAGTGGCCACGGTCACTGCTCAGCCGCCGCTACGCAGGCGTTGTTGCTTACCTGCCCGCCTGAAACAGCCACCAGTACATGCGTGCCTCGTGGAAGCAGCTGATGCATTCTGATAGCCCTCTGCACCTCCGCATGCAGGCTACTCCATGGCGATTCCCGGTCGTTCGCCGCTACGCGCCAGCGGCTTACACGGCGCACCACAGCAGCGCGCGTGGTCGGCGCCGCGTGCCCTGCGTCCCCTGTGTTTGCTGCGTCCGCTGCGCCCGCTGCCTCCGCTTCGAAGTTCGCAGCGGCCTGCTGAGCCCTAGTATATATTTTAGGCTGCCGCCAGGCAGCCCGCGACACGCGGGCTGCCGCGCCGCGCATCGAGCTGGCGGCGCTGCCCACTGCAGGCTGATTGATGATCATTATCACGATCCATTAAATACCATTATATGTACTTGAAAGTCGGGTCAAGCAAACCTTTGTTGCGATCTGGTGTCACCCGGTTTGGCCTGCTAAATCCAGCTGACTGCTCTTGACAAACACCGCACCACGAAGCCAGTGCATTCAGGATCGAATAGGCATAGCAACATACAGTACCTCGCTGGTATCTAAGTCAGATCACTGCTTTTGAACTCTGGTCCACGGTGTATGTTTCGGTGGCGGTCGCACGATCGTTTGTGTGCAGGCCACAGGCGCAATTACACGAGTCTCTCAGGCCTATATCGCATCACGGACGCCACAACATGGCAAATGGTGGCAGGAACCCGCTGCTGCTGACGGCGCACGTGGCATGCTTGGCGTTGCTGTCGCTGCCACGATACGCAATAGCGGTCACGACCAGCAACACCACGGCATCAAGCAATAGCACGACGGCCAGCATCACAACCGCCAACGCCATCATCAGCATCGCACAGTGCCGATGGAATGTGAATCGGCGCACGTGCGACCTGTCTGGAGGTGATTGCGCTCCCGACACCACCCCGACCACCTCTCCCGTTTTGGCTTGCTCCTGCTGCAAAGCAATTACCAGCAGGCAGCTTTCTATTCGTACACTCACTCGTCAGAACTTGCCTGCCCTGCTGAATGGTGGCTGCTGGCCTCTCTTCTGTCAGACTACTACAAACACGCATGCCACACCACCCCTTGACCAGGATACCTCCTGGCCGCCTTTGCCGGCGACAAGACCCAGAACAGCTACGCCAAGGGGCTGCTGCGCTCAGAGGCGGTAGAGCTGGCCTGCAACCAGCGAGCGACCAACACCACCTGCGGGGCCGACGCCCGCTGCGCCTTTGACGCAACCAAGGTGTGCATCACGCACCCCGGCACCCACGCGCTGGCACATTGCACGCAATCAGGGGGTTGCCTCGCAACATCATCTTGCAAAGAGCAAAGTTTTGCGCCCCTCACCCTCTAAGGTGCCTTATGCGGGCACGCCCAAGCCAGAACACACACCCATCCAGCCAAGCCAAGTTTCTGCACGCCTGAATTTTCACACCCCCCCCCCCGCCGGCTGGCCACCTGCGCAGTCCCCCGCCTGCCGCTCCAACCCCATCAAGGCCAGCGCATCCCTCCAGGCCACCTACCTCTGCCCCGGCTCCATCGCAGCCACCTACATCCCATGCACCTGGGTGAGGGCGCCTCGCACACAGGCCGGCCACGCAGCTCGCGCTGCAGTTGGCTGCACTCCTGCACATGGCGGTCACCCCAGCCCAAGCCGGCGACCTGATGGGCCTGCACATCGGCCCACGACGTCCGCTGAAAACGCGCGTCGCCGACTCAGCCAAGCCTCTGACGCACGGTGACGTCACCCCCGCCTGCGCGCCGCCCTCCCGTCAGGCAACCAGCGCCGCGGCGTGCGCCGCCGCCGGCAACTGCACATGGTCGGCGGCCAACACCACCTGCAGGCACAGGGCGGTCGCCGCTATGGACGCCGGGCAGGTGGGTCAGGGGGTCCATTGCCTCCTCAACCCTGCAGCCTCCACCTGCCTAATGGTACCCAAACGACCTGCCCATTCCTCACCGCCCCCACCCCCCTACCCCGCCTCCTCAACCCCGTCCCAACCCTGCCAATCGCCCACCCCCAACACCACCAGCTGGAGGAGTATACCGTAGAGCTGGCCGCGCTGCAGACCAGTATTTATGGAGAGTGCCCCGGCTTCACGGTGCGACAATGCATCCGGCCTCATGCGCGCAGCATCGGCTGCATGGAATCGCACTGATCAATGCGCCACGCAACCCTGCTTGGTGTCTGCGCGAGTGCATCTGCTTTGTGCGCCATGCAGGGGCGCGGGCCACGGTCGGCAAGGCCAAGCAGCTCGTCCATCTGACCCGGTCATGGCCGCATCTTGGCACCATCAATGCGAGCGCACGGCGTCAATCTCATCCCGATGTAAAACTATGTGCGACCACAACCCTTGTCACAGGCGTTTGCAGCCTATGCCGCCGCCTGCACGGACATGAGCACAGAAACCACGCAGGACTTCTGCAACACCTTCAACTTCTGCATCTGGGCGGGCAGCCAGTGCTCCCCAACCGCCCTCGCGCTGGTCACACAAGTGTTCAATGCGCGCGATGGCGACGCGACGACCGACGCCGCCAGCGCGTGCGCGGGAGTTCGGACATTGGCGGGGTGCGTGGCGGCTGGGGAGGAGATCGCGCTGAACTCGACACTCGTGGCGGCGGTGGCGTCTTGGAACGTGAGCGTCGCCGCGGGGGGCGCCTCGATGCTCATCGACGACACTTACAACGTGCCCACCACCACCACCGGCGGGGTGCGCATCGTCAGGGGCGCCGCCGCGACGTCGCGCCCCGGGCGCGCGGCCGCGCTCGGCGGCGTCCTGTTCTTCTTTGCTGCTGCGCTCTTGTGAGTGGATCTGTTCTGACCATTTAATACGCCCCCTTCAAGAAATTGTCTAGCCCTTTTGACTTGCAGTGCCCCACGCAGCAGCATACCTCCCATGATTCCCGCCTGTATTGCGTACCCATCCCAACGCGGCTGCAACATGCCTGCCCCCACCCCTGATGGCCCCTGCAGTGTGCTGCGCCTCCTCGTGCCTGACGCCCTTGAATCCACTTGCGCTGTCCCTTCCCTGCGTGATGTGCCTGGCTCAATAAACGCACGCTGTTTGAATGCCTTCCGCCAAGCTGTGCCCTTTGGACGCTAGCAGCAAACCTACTTTTTTGTGCCTGTCACCGACATGATTTCTTGAGCCTGCCGCCAAGCCTCGTCTTGGCGCTGGCTCTTCACTTGCTGAAATGTCCCCTCCTGCCATGACCAGCTGCACGGCAGCTGCCTCACAGAGCACAAACGACGGCTCCGCAGAGAGTTTCCTTGCCTATTTGCAGTAATAAACGGTTGGTGCAGGGCCTTTATCTCATACTAAGACATGGTTACACCTGACCGCACACAGCGACAATAAAAGATTCAAAATAAATGCAGCGGTGCAGGAGTTCACACTGCTGATATTAAAGGCCAGTGGCAAAAGCTTGGGCCAGAGATACCTTGGTCATTAAACGCCTCAACAACGCAATGGTGTCAGTTCCAGGCAACAAGCAAGGCGGTGCACCTATTCGTGGCAGCATGTGCTATGCATGCGTGCCGCGCGTTTGCAGCGCTTATGCAACTTTGCAGGGAGGCTGGGGTGGGTGGGAAGTCTCCGCAAGTTGTGTTCGCGTTCAACTGCCATACACTGGCAGCGTGAGGAAGGAGTCAAGCCAGCCAAAAGCACCACAGGTGCCACCTTCCCAACAGAAGGTCGGCTCATTCAAACCGCCTGTCAGCATGCTGCAGGCTGCAGTCTGATCTCCCACACCGCCTGCGCGTGCGCGATTGCGTGTACAAGGGCTGTGTCTGTTCGAGACCAATGCCCCGCCAAGCTTGGGCAACGGATGCTGCGTCTGCGCCAGCTCCATTACCATGTGGCGAGGGCGTCAGTACCTGCCGTCACACTCAGCTGAGGTAAAAGTGGGCTTGACCATGGCAGCCAGAATGCCTGCAGGTTTTGGGGGGACAGGGAAGCTGGTCCATCTTGGTACACGGCTGTAAAGTAGAGCGCTCAATTTGCAGCTAATGGTGTGTCGATCGGGTCCGCCCCAACCCCTGAACAGGTGCCTGTCGCCTCACGGCGTTAATCACAGGATGAGCAACAGCCCACTCACAACGGAACCAAACACAACAATCATTCTCACCCGTGAAACCGCCGTTGTAATCGACGGCAACCTCGTTCTGCACGAAATTGGAGCGCACGTCTTCGTAGGCATCGGCGCCGTCGGGGCCGCCCACCAGCGCGCCGTATATGATGTGGGGGTTGGGCGAGCGGCTCTCCAGGTATTTGAATGAGCAGGGCACGCCAAGCCGCGGGCAGCTGGCCGCGCGGTGATGGGGCTGCTGCGGGGGCGTCGGGCCGTAGCCGACCACGAAGGAGCGCCCCGTGACGCCGCCAAGGATGTAGGCCAGCTGGCAGGGTTGGCCCGCGCGAGTGGATTTACGAGTCAGCGGAGCAGCTGATGATGCGGTCAAACTGAGCTGAGCTGGTGGTCACAGGAGCAGCTTATTTGGGCACGTCAGCAACTTGTCAGCCATGCGTAACAAAAGCCGAACCTTGGCAGCTTGTGCATTGCAGATTGTTATTGCGCCCCTGCTGCTGCACCCGTGGTTCCCCGCTGCATCTGCTGCAACCCCCATCGATGCCCGCACTCGCCTCGCCCCCCACGCACCTGGTTGTGCGCGAAGCAGTCGACGCGGCGCTCGAGGGCGGGGTCGCCTGCGCCCTTGGCGTATGTCTTCATGAGGAACAGCGCGTTGCCCACGTGCCTCAGGCTGCCCCAGGTCGTGCTGAACCCCAGCCCTGCGTGGTTGGGGGGGGGGGGTGGGCAGGGTGCATGGTCAGGGGCAGGTTTAGTGGGAGCGTCGCAACCGAGGAGAGCAGGCGGGCCGGGCTGGCTCATCAACAAGGTCGCTGCTCTGTAGTGTAAGCAGCACCTCCGTTGGTCAAATCCCAGCGTGAGCAACCTGCTGCTGAGCACCGCTTGCTGTAGTGATGTCGCGCCGCTTGAGCTGCAAATGCATGCACCCAAATGCACGCGTGCGCCACTGGCCTGCGCACGGCGTCGACTGCTGCAGTGCCTCTCAGTCCCGCGCACCTTTGGGCGTGCGCCTGATCCAGGGTCCCGTGTTCAGCCAGTCGTTGACAAAGGTCATCATGCGGGCCTTGTAGAAGGGGTCCTCAGGGAACCAGCGCGACAGGATCAGCACCGCTCCCCAGCTGTTGGAGTCCCAGTCTGCATGTTTGGGTGGCGCGCGAAGTTTGATTAGTGGGTCGAGACGCGTTTCTGTGCAAGCACAAAAATATTTGCAGAATGAAATTCATCAAGGAGGTGTGTAATCCGTAGTGGTGGCCATTTGCGGCTGTGGCCATTTGCGGCAGCATTGAACAGCCCAGTGTCTTGCATCACAGGTCAACGACCGTCCTTTGACCGCTCTGGCGCCACCCAGGCACCCCGCACCCACCATAACTGTCCCAAACTGGGTTCTGCAGGTGCTCCGTCCGCCAGTGCAGGCCGTAAAACTCCCGGGCGGCCTGCTTGTAGGAGGGGTTGCCGGTGCGCACGCCCAGCCAGATCGCCGCCCAAGCGAGGTCATCGTAATAGTTGCTCGACCTGAGTGGTGGTGTTGATGGCGTATGGTATAGTGTAGGGTGGCAGGCCGTGTGAGGCTCGCTTGCAGCAGCTTGCCTGAGGCAAGGCTGGCCCTCAGACCCCGAAGCCGAAGCGGATAGCCCAAGACGCGTGTGCGCCATGCGGGATGACATCACTCCGACACCGGCAGCCGTAAACACACCTGTAGAAGCTGGCGGCCTCAGGGATGGCGTCATGGTACAGGCCGCGGTACTTCACTGCGAACTGGTACGCCTTGAGGGCCGCGGCCAGCAGCCGGGCTGAATAGGCGGGGTCCACGTCGGCAAAGGCGACCGACGCGGCGCCCAGGGCCCCGGCCATCGCGGCGGTGACGTCAGAGCCGGGGCGGTCGGGGGTGAGGACGAAGACAGGGGTGGGCGGGACCTTGTCCTCGGGGCGCGTCCACGTGGCTGAGAGTTGGAAGCAGGGAGGGGTGGAGGTAGGGGCTTTGCTAGGGAAGGCTCAGCAGATAGGAAAGATGGGCCCATACTGGCTCAGACGTACTTTGGTCGGGGGGAGGGGCGAACAACAGGCAAGGATGGAGGGGAAGGATGTGGAGGTGCAGGGGTTTGCCCTCCCTCTTGCAACTCAGCAGGGTAGCATCTGCTGCCGAACCATGCAGTAATTCAAGACGCTCTGCTGCCTTTGGTGCAGCGTGCCACGGACCCGCAAGCAAGCTCCAACGTTCTCAATGCCAGCTGAACAATGCTGCCTGAACAACCCACCTTGAATTCAGCCGGCCTCTGCACCCCTTGCAACATTCAACACTACCCCCTCCCTGCCCGCCGTGTGTTCCAAGCCCATGATACTCACAGTGGTCTTCGTACCCGCTGCCAACCTGTCCAACAATCGTGGAGCCGTCCCCCACGCATTTGATGAAGTAATCTGTTGCCCATTTGATGTTGTCCAGGGCTGTTTCGTACTGCCTGGCCGCAACATAACCCTGCATGAAGGGAGCGACAACGGGGGTCCATGCGGATGGTCTTTGCATAACTGTGTGATCAAGTATCTGGGTTGCAGGTGTTGCAGGGCAGGACATTCCCATGACTTTGATGTCGGGCAGGGTTTGCAGTCAATTCTGGTTTTAAGCTTGACTGCAGCCTTTCACAGTTTCCATGACTGCCAGCCTGCGCACCCCTGCCTGGGCTCCGTGCGCCCCATCTGCCCCCGTCTCCCCAGGCACGTGTCCTGACCCGCCTCGCCCTGGCCCACCTCCTTGTATTCCAAAACAGACCACGCAAGCACGCCAGCGGTCCAGGCCATTGGCAAGTTGAATTTCACGTTGTCGCCCGCGTCATACCTGGTGTTTTGTGAGGGGGCAAACTGAGGTTTCGTGCCAGCAAGTGTGCACCCTGTGAGGCTGCAGCAGCTCAAGCACGGCCGCCGCAAAGCCAGGCAACCTGTGTGCCAGCAGGCCCCAGGCCGAGCCGGCGGCTGGGTAGGCAGAAGAGTTGCATGCCTGCAGGTGGTGGTCCCCTTAATTCCGCAATTCATTGCTGGGCGTGTGCCCCCTCGCAAACACGCGCGTCCTGTTGCGGCCTCTCGGCATCACGCGGCACCACCAGGAAACTTTGCTGGGTGACGAATCACGTAGCGTCACCACCCACCAGCCGCCGGTGACATCGCGGCCGTCGGGTGCGCGGTCCTGCAGGCCCGAGTCGCCGCGCCAGGAGATGCGGTTGCTGGGCGGCAGCTTCCCGCTGCGCTGGGCCTCGTAGAACAAGAAGGACAGGCTCAGCACGTCACCGTATGCAGGGTCACCTAAGTCCCAGCGGTGGGTGGGCGCGATTGACACGGTTGCGGTCTGCTGGGTGGGCGCGGCACGCATAACTGACAGCTCAGAAGCAGCCCCGCCCTTTGCGCGATGTGATCGCATCAGAGCGACGGGTTGCCGCGCGCAACGGTTGATGCAAACGCAGTGAGCTCCGCTGCAGCGGGGGCCGAGACTTGATCTGCACTCCAAGCGGCGGCCTGCGGAGAGCGGTTGCTATCAGACTCACCGTTGGGGGCCACACGAGCTGGGACCGGCGCGCGAGGTGCCAGAGCGCCCTTGCCGGCGATGCCCTTCCCAATGGAGCCCTTGCCGATCAAGCCCTTGCCAATGACAATGGCGCCCTTGCCGATCAAGCCTTTGCCAGTGGCGCCCTTGCCGATTAGGCCCTTGCCAGTAGCGCCCTTGCCGATCAGGCCCTTGCCAATGGAGCCCTTGCCGACCAAGCCCTTGCCGAAGGCACCCTTGCCACCCGGGCCAGTGACGATCAAGCCCTTCTCGCCCAGGCTCCTGTGAAAGGAGGTCTTGAGGGCCCCTCCCCAGCCGTCCCCGCTTTCCCGGCAGCTGTGGAAGTGCGCGTCGCTGCGGGTGCACTCATAGCCGTCAGGGCAGCAGGCGTCACGCCACGGCCCGTCGACACACCGCTTGCCGGGGCAAGCAGAGCCACGCGTGCCGCCGCATTGGTCCCCGGGTTTGAGCGGCGCGCCGCAGTCCGGGGCTGCGGCTATGGGGCGAGCTGCGAGGGCGGGCGGTGTGCGCGGAGGCGGTCGGAGACTGTGAAATATGTGCCTGCGAATGGCGATATTCAAGCAATCGCAGGTGAAATCGGCATCCTCACCTGCGGCCAACGCCACGTGGAGGGCTGCCAAGACCCAGATCAGATGGCAGGTCGCCGTTTTGGTCAAGCGCTGCTTTCCTGGCAATTCCAGGGGGTATATTGCATGCACAAGCGGTGATGCGTGGTGTGTGGAATCTTGCTATTGTGGGTGGTGCGGCAGAGGCGCGCAGGCGAGGCAGGAGTTGGCGTCGGCTGCATCAGGCTGCACGCAACCGGTCTACTGTACACTTCAGACTCTGTCGGTCTGGCCTCCCAGGCGCTGCTTGCAGTCGGGTGCAGCAGAGCGGCTCATCTTGTTGACACCAACTCACATCCTGATTCTCACCTGGTATCGCAAGTATCAAACCCATCAGCGGGGATCGAGTCGGATGGGGGACTGTGTTGGTGGGACTCGTGCCGCTTCCAGTATGATTGTTACATATACAAATTTTTCTTCTTGTACTTTTGAATGTGAACCTTGCCTTCCGAGCCGGTCTTGGTGACCAGTATCGGAAGGGCCGCCTTGGGCCATTTCCCGCCATCATTCGGTATGCGTGCCTGGCGGGTGACGAGCGCCTTCGTGCATTCGAATTGTGCCATTGATATGACGCAGGATCAAATAAGAGTGGCTAGGAGCTCCAAACCATCTTGAAGCTGTGGGCGCCCGTTTGTGTGTCGGCCGTTGCTGTCTTGCTGAAGCTACGACGGGATGTTGGCCTGCGATTTTGTGATTGGGTGTGCAATATGATAAGCACGATGAGCAGCCAAGTTTCAATCCCAATGCAGCTCGTGCTCCCCCACTTGGCAGTGGGAAACATCTGCACGACGATGAGAGGGCACGCAACGCGCCAGGTGAGTAGTGCATCCCAGCAGCGCGGAGCCTCACCTCCCAAACAGCGAGCCCCCATCCCCGTTGCTTGGAGCTGTCCCAGTGCCAAGCACGACCGCCTTGACGATCACACCGGCCGCTGTCAACATTGCAGGCCCCGCTCTTCCTCTCCCATATCCATGCTGCCTGCTGTTGTTGCCGACAGGCAGGAGGACGCAACCCGCCAGGCCACGCAGCTGCGCAGCGCTCGAGCGTTCGATTACAGCTCATCTTTGCACCAATCAATCTGCCAAGCACACCGTAAGAGGATCAAAAGTACAGAGGTTTGGTGCTCAGGTGCAACCCGCAGCAGCGGTTGGTAAACACCGGGAATGGTCAACTACAAGGAAGCAGCGGCGGCTTGCAAAACACCCGTCCACCACATGAACATCGCTTGAACAATGTGGACCGCCACATGCAACGTTTCACATTTGAATCGTCAGATAATGAGGCTCTTCGCAGCATCTGGCTGCTGCTGCCGCTGCTGCTGCTGCGCCGGCGGCCGCGCAGCCGCGCTGCCGGGCAGGATGAGGCCGCCCGGGCTGGTGGCCTTGTCAGCGCCTGCGCCCACCAGGCCCGCGGGCGCGGAGGGCATGGCTGCGACCCCGACGGCAGGGGCGGCTGTGATGAGGTACTTGCTCGCGGCAGCCTTGACCTGCGACAATGGCGGCAGGGGTAGGAGCAGCAAGGGCAGACTCAAACGGTCGGAAGCGCGGCAACAGAGGGCGTGCGAGGGCGTTGGGAGGCCTTGGCACGCGCTGAGCATGCTCAGCAGCGTGTGCCTTCACCGCACCCAATTGGCCTTGGCAACAACACAAGGGAAAGGCATGCCTCCGAAAAATGCTCACAACACAAACGCACGCAAGGGCTGGTGTGCCGCGGCCCCTCAGGAACAGCAAGTCAGTCAGGCCCTTTTGGGGCGTCTCAGTTCTCCAAGGTGAAAATGATAGGTTCTCATCCACGGGGATTGGCTCAGCCGCGCACGCGCACACAATGTCACCCACACAACCAAGCACGCCATGGGCTTGAGGCCAGCGCGCTATTCTGCACACAGCAGGCCGCACAGCCGTCCATCAAACCCTCCTCAGCCTGCGTCCTTGCGCCCATGCAGACGCATTCTCATGCTTGTGTTTGCAGGACCCAGCCAGCACACCCTGCCCATCGCCTCCGACAACGGAAGCACGCCCGCACACCAGCCCAACACCGCAAGGCACGCAGCCGCCCGCCGACCGACCCCCACCTTCTCCATGAAAGCGGCCGCATCCGGCTGGTTCGCCGCCTTCGCGCCGTCGATGTTCTGCTGCAGCAGGTCCATCAGCGGCACGTCGATCTCATTCGCCTCCGCCATTTCAATGATCATGGCCTTCTTGTCCGGCGACGTGAGCAGCTTCCGCATGCGCTCGACCGCCGTGCTGGTGGACGCGACCGCCTTATCGACCGCCTCCGCAGCCTCCTCCAGGTACTGCCTCAGCAGCTCCAGCTCAGCGAGCCGCTCCTCGGACTTCGCGGCGGCCGCGGCCGAGTCCTCGGCGGCGGCGCCGGCGGCGGAGACGAGGGCGGTCTTGGGGGCGTTGAAGCGCTCGGCGCCGATCATGGCGTCTAGCGCCTTGAAGAACGCGGGGGTGAGCTTGGGCCTGTTGTAAAGGACGGGAGGGGGGCGTGCCAGGCGGGGCTTAGGGCGAGTAGGGTGGTCCCAGCAGTCTGCGAGTCATCGCGACCTGTGTTGGCAAACTTTGACTGAGGGTGCAGGGTCTGTATTGGGACGCCGGTGGTGCTGCAGGCAGCCCTCAGCCTGCGGGCAACCCTGGAGCCTGGCCGCCGTGCTTGCTTTCGGCGCAGGGGGTGCTGGCCTGGCAAAGCATGGGATAGCTCGTGCTGCAGCAGCATACTCAGACCCCAAGCCGCGCAGCGTCCATGGCATAGTCATCCGCATGCGCGCTCGAGCATGTAGCATGCGTGTCGACGCGCACGCACACCCTCCGCGCACGCACACATACGCACACATACGCACACACATACACGAATGCACGCACACACAAAGAACCCCAGCCTCACCACAGAGTGTTCCAGGCACCCACCTGCAGCGCGCCACCTCGTATTCCATGTCCTCCGCATCCGAATTCAAAAAGTACTCCACCAGCTCGGACGGCTCGTCCGGCGGGCTGCGCTGGCTGCGCCGCAGCAGCACCTGCCGCCGGATGTCGTCCTTGGTGGCTGAGACGGCAGCGGCGAACTCCTGGTCCTTCTCCATCTGCTTGGCCATCATGCGGCGCTGGATGAGGCCCTCCTTGGGGGCACCCAGAAGGTTCTCAGGGTCCCAGGCCGTGGCCGCGCCGCCGCCCCCGCCTGGCGGGCCCATGCCGGGCATGCCGCCGCGGCCGCCAAAGGGGCTGGGCCCGCCGCCGCGGCGAGCCAGGACGCGGACGGAGGCGCGGCGGGG